GAAAAGCCGAAAACTACCCACTGCCGAACTGCCTTTCTGATTCGACAATGGAAACCCACAGAATCACCTCGTGACGAGCACAAGTGTCTACCGCTGGGATTGAACCATGGATGGTTCCTCTGTTGATGAGCATGACTCGCTCTATGTCAGTGTCGACAGGAAGACCGAATAGTATTGAAGGGAAAGCATGAAGGCATCGCAGCGACTGTAGAGTACTCCTGCATAGCCAAGTGCAGCAGCCCATGCCAAATTATATATCGTGTATATATATAATCCTGGTTTTTAGGTCTCCGAGAAAGGTTCTCTGCTGTAGCACGGCCTTTTCCATTGCTCGATCAGATACTGTTCCTCTTTCACGTAACATCACCAAGAGCGAGAGAAGCATTGACCTAAAATGTAATCATTAAGGACCGCGGCATGCGTATCAAGCGAAGAATCATCAATCGTATATCACGAGTCGATAATAGTGGCATGAAACCGACAAACTCTCAGATCTTCGAGAACAATGATCTTGGCGGAAGCTGGGACCGGGCGCATCGAAGAATTTGAATACGATATCGAGAGAGAAGGCAATCTGAAGGCGACAGAATCTGAAGCAGGAGAATTCCAGCATCGGATACTATGTACGGGAATTCTCGCGGCGGTGGGCGTAGATCAGACTGGTGGAGGGACTGTTATTCGCGCCAAGCGTAGCTTAACTCAATGCTGCCTAAGACAACCGGACGTTAGCGCGACTTTATTAGGAAGGTTATTTTCCCTTGATAGGAAGGTAGATATACAATTCTAGCAGGACCGTCGCGATAGTCACCAAGTGTAGGCTAGTCTGAAGCGCCGGACGGGTGTGATTGACTCGCGGTGCTTGGAACGAGTGAGTTTGCGTCCCAACTTCTGCCGCACACAAAGGGGTAGACATTGCAAAGTTGGATGGGTGTCAAATTTGCGACATGATGATCAGCTTGACAAGGTAAACATGCACCGATAGAATGGTGGAGGGCAAATTGAATGTCCTCACTGGTGCTGAGGAGGGATGGGTGGGGAGCAGCAGCGAAGCTTAAACTAAAAGCCGAATTGGAATTGAAGAAAACTAGAGCCTCAGGCACAGAATCCACGGGATGTGCATCATGTGAGTCATGATTTCACTAACTATATAACATATCTCGGCCGGTTCAATAGCCACAATCCTATATACAACTTTGCGGAACCTGTGGTAGGCAACACCATTTTCGCGCCAGCTGATTTGCTTATACCACCGGCCATCCACTGGAAAAGTCGATCGTGTTCCACCCAAACTGCGCGTCAGAATCGGCATACCCAATCGTGGTATTCATGTAGTGGTAGTAGAGAACCGGACCCAGGTTAGGATCATCATACACACCCCTGAACCATATTAGCATAGCTATTAGTTGGGCAGCTGCAGGATCACTTACTGTCCGCCAGGGCCATAGACTTCGCCGTGGCTTTCGAGAACCATCGTGCCCCCGCCGTCCGTGCATGCCGTGCCATCAGCGTCAACCTTGACATCATATTAGCTTTGCTTGCTTATCTAGTACTTGCTCTAGACGTCGGATGTACTTACGAAGTCACCAGTCGGGGAAGTCGAACGGCAGACCTTGATGTGATACTCCTCTCCGGAAGCAGGCATGGACGTATCATATCCACAGCAGATACCCGCCGAGTAAAAGAGGTAGTAGTAGTCACCGTACTGGAACATGTATGAACCCTCCTCTGCATGAGTACCGGACGGGTCATATGCGATATTGTAGGAAGATGAGGCAGCTGCAGTGGGGGTTGACTTCATCGGGACTTGGTAGAGATCATCCCAGAACGACCCAAAGTTGATGTAGTAGGTACCGTCGGCGTAGATCAGGTTGGGATCAATTGCATTGTAGATCTTAGCAGAAGAAGATTTGATGCCAGTGGAGCCATGATCGGTCCAAGAGTCATATTCCATCGTCTCAGACGTTGCCAGTCCGATTGCGGAGTCTTGGGATCCAAAGGTCGACACGGCGTAGTATACATAATAGAGACCATCTACGTAGGAAACATCTGGCGCCTGGGAACGTATCAGATAGGCCGATGATACTGGAGTGAGACATAGTTACCCAAAGATCATCGTTGCCATCCAGATCGATGGACGATCCATCCGGAAGCATAGATCCAACACTGGTCCATGGTCCTTCGATGGATGACGCAGATACGTAGGAGATTTTGTTTCCGGTGGAGAAGAGAAAGTATGTACCGTCTGACTCTCTCCGGATTAAACCGGGGTCGTGGGTGGTACAAACACCCGAGCATGCTCCGGGATTGGCGTAGCCATGCACGAGGCTGGCCAGCAGAGGGACCGAGGCAATGGATAGGAGCTGATACATGGCTATCAAGACAGGCGCTGTCACCACTGGATGACTTATCCGAAGCATCCAGATCAACTGTTATATATACAACCATCAAACAACTACGAATCCCACCGGAAGACTACTGCATCGATTCGTGGACAAAGTGGTTGTGCTTTCCGCCTGTCCGGAGCGACCTCCGTGATACTTTGGTCGTTTCATAAAGTTACAAAGTGCATTTTGAAAGAGCAATATTCCGGAGGCACCTACTGTTATTAGCCGATGACTGTGTCTGTAGCATGATTCGGTACATTAGGATGTAACAGTTGGTGTGCAGACAACGCTGACGCTGGGTGGATAAACTGGCCAACACGTGGGTTGTGTTGGACGTATCTCTCTATACAATAGCCAGTGTGAGTTACCAGGAGTATTATGATGTCAGTGACAGGGATGAGATGGACACCAATCCTGCAACATTAGTTGTTCAGGCATCCCTAGCGTGGTCTTGAGGACCCTCAAACTAGCATAAGCACACGACATGGGAACCTATAGCTACGCCCCATGTCACTGTCCAATCTGCGGGAGTAGTTTCCGGCCTTAGCCGTACTCTGACACTGGACCATCCGGATCACAGTTTGTTTTCTTATCTATCATCAACCGGTGACATTCAGGGGGCAATCAATAACTGTCTCCTGAGGGACCAGAGGTGCGTGTGGCAGAAAGAGAAGAGAATATTGTCTCAGCTGCGCCCCTTTCACTCGCGGCTCCTCAGGATTGGCCCATGCGAATCTTGGCATAACTTTGCAGAGATTCTAGTCCACATCCCGCCGGCTTGAAGAAGGCCATCTGACGAGTAACGGATCCCACATGTGCCAAACGTGTGTAATCGTGTAGGCAGCGTAGCCAGTGCAGGTCCGCAGGTATTAGTTGAAAGCACTCGCACTTTGTTGATACGCGCACGTCGACCACGCCAGAAGCTGAGGAAGTTGGGAGAGAGCACACGTCCTTTCCCTGGTGGAGAAGCTAGCGTGAGACCGAAACGTAAATGGAAACAAGGGAGTGGGGTTCTTCAGCGATGGGTGGAGCCGAAACTGAGGACTTGGAAGGGTTTGTACCAGAACACAGGTATCCTTTTTGAGAAGGTCTAGAGAGAGTCGTTACGGAGATTCCGCGGGCATGATCCAACTCTCGGCCGATACGAAATCACAACCGATTCTTAGTAATTGTTGTGAGGTCGATGTAGGACATTGTGTTGAAATGCATCCAGATGTTGACTATTCTTGAAGGCGAAAATTTGCTGCCTGAGGCTTCCATATTCACCCAACCCAAACCAGGCATTTTAGAACACGAGCTTCAATGCAGTCCTAATCACATCACATCCCTGATCTACACACTGCCATGCCACATCTCCCGGACACCGTCGGACACGACAAGTCAATAAACCTCACTACCTTAAACACACGCCCATTCTCCTAAACCCACAAACATTGGGCATGCATGACCTGAACAATGCGGGGAAGGATTCCCAACCCTGCACAGCACATGCATTAGTCGATCAGAACTAATTACTATCCTCACACTATAATAAGGGACTCCGTGCGGACTTCCGCGCGGGCAAGTTGATCATATGGCCATACCCGGAAGGATTATCTCACGTCTCAGGAAGGGATCTACATCTGATTCGATCGTGAGTGGCTATCCCACCGGGATGAACATTGCTGACGGGCGCTCTTCACGGGTTGAACCTACTATCTAGGAGTACCTTCGTATGGAGTAGATAGTAACACGCACGCTGGGTGTCTTGTATCATTTCTGAGTTTGTTGGCTGGTTTCTCTACCAGCCTTGATGAGCGGGAAATATACATCATTGGATGCTGGGGGAGAGTGAAATTGGTGTACCGAGGTGAAACCAGAGGTACTAGGCACAGTATTGTCCTGGTACATCCTTGGAAGTCACGGAGCCTTCCACATAAGGCAATAATCCGGTATGAGCAAATGAAAGTCTAATTTGCTGCCGTATGGCCCATAATAAGCGGTTGGATGGGCAGTGTTGTCCGAGCTACGAGCACTATCAGCCAGGAATGTACTTCTTTTCGGAACATGCTTACGTCCACCAATATCTCTGGTCTCAAGTCCTGTAATGAGACTCATGTATAGCTGTTGAATGCAAAAGTAAGGTTCCTTGGTGCCGTGGAAGTCTGACATTTAGAATGGAGTAGACTCGCCGAACCAACAGCTCATCACGTAGACTCTCCCTGTAATCTTGCACAACTTTGACTTGTAATACAGACCGGTTCGTTCCGCATTGCAGAGAAGATAAATGAACTACAACGGACATCTGAATGGTCATCTGTCGGATAAGTACCATTAAGTACCTTGATAAATCTCATAGAAACAATTTGTATGTTAAACCTCAGAGGTTGGGATACATTTGGTTAACCTCGTAAACACATGCAAACTCCATTTCCTTCTCAGCATATCAGATATTCTCGAAGTCCGAAACACAAACCGCATAAGCCATTTCCCCACGACCAACGAACCAGATGAATGACGCATCGATGAGCGACATAGGTTCCTCGAGACGTCGATCGCTTGTAGCGCACACTCGAAAACCGTCAAAGATAATGTGGTATGTCAATGTGCACCACAGCAAAGGGTTGTAGAAGCTACCTAATCACCGATTAGGCCGCGCTTTTCCCTGCGCCCCATAAAGCTGAAGTACCACGTGGGCTCCCCATGTTTCACCCGGCAACCGGTATCCCACTTCTTCAACTCATTATGCTTCCAGTAATCCTGATCTCTGTCACCATCTGACCGTAGGTCCTTACTGATATCCATACAGTCCAAGCAGAGTCCATGAAAGTACTCTGCTACTTTTTTGGCTGCTCGCAAAACAATAGCGTCCCAAGCTGTGTTACAATAACTGCACGGTCTCACTTTTCCAGACAGAGGGTCCGTAAGCTTTCGCATTTTCGTTGCATCAAACAAACGCAGTCGTTCGAGCATCTTCTTAATACTGTCGGTTCTCATTGACTCCTCCAGCGGCCAGACATCTATTCGGGCCAGTTCCCGCAAGTATTCAAAGACAGTGAGTTCTTTGCACACACAGTTCCCATACTTGAGGATAGTCGCCATTTGATCGTGTAGCTCTCTGTGGAGGATGTTGCGTAAGCGCCCACGGGCTGCATTGAGCTGTTTTTGAAACAGATGTTATTGGTCCATTCAGAAACAAGGTAGTGAGGGACTCACGGATGATGCGTGGGGGAAGGTGCATCCTTAGAATGTCGGTGGGATTATGTTCGGTTATATGGCCTACACACCCGTAGACCAGCTTCCTGGTGACCGCCATGAAAGCAGGGGCATTGTCGAAGACGAAGCACGGATACATCAATTCCCTCGAAAACCGAATGTAGTTATCTATGTTGATGCGCTTCTGGCTTTCTTGTTCCCACCAGGCCTTGAACCAAGAACTCAAACTTTTCTGATCAACATTGTACTTATCGCAGGACATTATAACGTGCCACGTCCCCGCAACAGTAACTGAATCAAGAGGCATGTCATCGAGGGTGCCGTGAAGGCTGCGCAGGAGAACTTCCATGCCTGTGCAGTTGTCCTCCTCCAGGGTAATTTTCTGACTTCCTGACTCAAGCCAGCGAGCGTGACCAAACATTGCTCGAAAGTATTGAGCTTCGAGTAGCTTGTTGCGCTCGACTTTCATTGAAACGCATTTTGTTATCTCCTTATCACCAATCCACTGCCTAGTGTATTCTTTGATGAGGATCTCGGTGTCCGCGTTGGAGGAGATGGTTATCTCCTTGATTTTAGGGTCAGAATTCATCTTGAATGTGGCCTTGACGATGATATAGAAGTAGGTGAAGGGAAACCAAGACACAGTAAGATGCTTCGGGGTGAGGTTCAACTTGACTGTAGGAACGAGGATCAGAGAAGATGCTCAAGTGAGATGGGAGAAGTTGGAGGCGATGTCAAAGTGAAGTACGTCGGGGGCAGCGTGTTGCTCTTGCAGGCATCACCCGGTCACGAGACTTGTAGGACGAAGTGAATGAGAACTGCTAACGCCCAGCCTCTCTGGTTGGAGGACCCACGTCCCAGTGAGCAATACACTACTTAGACAGAGAACGTGCTCCAAGTGATCCAAAAGTTGTCAATGTCAAGGAAACAGTGCTTGTAGGCGGATGACCTTTGATTAAGGAGCGGTGGCACTAGGTATGCAACATACGTTTTGGGCGTTATATGTTGAGTAAGCTTAACTGAAAGTAAGGTGACTTTGGGGTGGTATGAGTGTGAAATTACTGTCGGGACTTAAGAGTCCATTGGTACTCAGATCTGGCTACCAGCGATGTTCATCCTCGGATTCGATTCATCGGAGAAAGTGAGAAGTCTTAGACTGAAGTTGAGTTTAGGGTGAGCATAAGCTAGCTCGTAATCCTCGGAAGAAATCAGTTGATGGAATTCATAGCCTGGAGTGACGAAGGAATTGACAAGCGGTTGAGTAGGGTTGTGAGTCAGTAGCAGTTCTCATCTCCCTTTCTGATCATCTGGCTGGTGGGTATTTTTTCGGTTCTCCTACAGCTCTCCAGGCCAAATACACCTCAGAAGCCCAGATAATCGAACGAGACTGGAACCTAGACGAGGGTAATCCCATTCTCTACCGAGAAAGCATCCTAAAATGGGTAATTGGTTGCTACATGATGTGGGAACCCAAGGAAGTCAAGATCACAGCTGCCGAGAATTGTCGAACATTCTTTAATCTACCCAGTATGCCCATTCCTTCCCCATGGCCGTCCTCAATAAGGAAACTGAGGTTACCCTCCTCACCATGTTTGAGGGACCATACGCCTTGGCAATTTCCTGCATTTGTTCTTCTAGCTGTTCTGAAGGAAAGATCCAAAGTGAATGACTCGGTAACAGTCAATACATTATTCACCAAGGAGGCATTAAGGGACCTTGGGGAGATGGAAACCGCCTGGCAGAATCTAGACGTCAGTATTCGCTTGAAGCTTGAACAAAACAACGACACAGCAATGGACTGGGTGCCTGATAAGGCTGTTCCACTCCTCCAAGCCCTCTTTCCCAGGGACATTCCCATATCCGATTGCGTGGGCGGCAGCAAGCCCGATGCTTAGGACAATAACTACATAAATTTCATTAGTTTAACCCTACACATAGGCTTTCTATCAAGGGTAACCGTTTATTCGCCCAACGAAATAATTAGCATCAACTAAAACTAGCAATCGACCAAGCAACCTATTGTATCGGGATATTCACTGTTTTCTGGCACCCCACCGTCTCCTCTTCTGCCCAGACAGTGTATATCCATGGCATCCCTTCTCTTGTTGATGTTTCTAGGAGAGTCTGACGAACATCGAAGATGTATATTAAAACAAGTCATACGCCACAGGTTGATACTCCGACTAAACCTTTATATTTCAGGATTATAGACAATATTTCTCTTGGCATTGGATTTAGCGATAACAAAGTTTGACGGAGAAGGACTGTACATTTAAATTAGCTTCATCATTTGCCAGACTGGTAGGAAAGCTCGAGCCGAGCAGTCCTGCAAGCACAAATTGTCCTGGATTGATAGTTCTGTGATACGCATGGAAATGTACAACCAGGGGTCCAAATGCGCTCTAAATACAATAACAGAAGGTGTCAGCGAGTCAGAGAATGGCGCAAGCACCCGTTTGCTCCACCGCCTCCGATAAAACCACCCCGCATCTACTGCAACTCAACAGCCTATCTCAACCTTCACAATGACACTCAATCCTACCTCTTTTACTTCTATTCCCGTCCTCGACTATGCTCAGGCAAAATCACCCGAGAATAAACCCAAGTTCCTCGCCAACTTGCGCAATGCCTTGGTTAATGTGGGCTTCTTCTACCTCATCAACGCCCCGATTGCGCCTCGGGTGCGCGACGAGCTGATCGAAAAGACATTCCACATATTTGATCTGCCACTGGAGAAGAAGCTGGAAATCGAAATGGTCAACAGTAAGCATTTTCTGGGATACTCCAGACTCGGAGCAGAGACTACAGCCCGTCAAACCGATTATCGAGAACAATTTGATGTGCGACCGTCGCAACCTCGTCAAGATCACTTGAGACTGACGAAAACAGTTTGCGACCGAGTTGCCTCCCCCGGCACCAGATGCGCCTCTATACCGTAATATCAGAGGTCCGAATCAGGTACGTGATGAAGATAATTTTTGCAAAGCATCATATACTAACAAGCACAGTGGCCCGACGAGACAGCCATCCCTGGCTTCCGTCACGCCGTGGAGGCATACCTAGCGGAGATGAGTCCAATTGCCGAGGCATTCAGGATCCTCATCGCAGAAGCGCTGGATTTACCGCCGACAGCACTACAGCAATTCTTCGAGAATCCAACACAGCAGAAGCTAAAACTGATCAAATATCCACCTCCAACTACTCCATCCGAAGCCCAAGGCGTCGGAGCCCATAAGGATTCTGAGTTCTTGACTTTCTTGCTTCAAGCGACACCGCATACCGGACTCGAGGTGCAAAACAAAGCCGGAGAATGGATACCTGCGCCGCCAATGCAGGACTCGTTGGTCGTTAATATCGGTCGCGCGCTTGAGGCTATCACGGGTGGAGTCTGCACGGCCACAACGCATCGAGTCAATTTGGAAGCAGAGAATTTTGTCGATGCGCAGGGTGCGCCGCTGGGACCGCGGTTCTCTATTCCTGTGTTCCAAGGCATGAGTCTGGACTTGTCGGCGGAGAATATCTCCCTTGAAATCCCGGCGCATATCAAGGATCTGATTAAGGATGATAAAGTTAGGTCAGATGCGGAGGCGACCTTCAACAAGATATTTAAGGGACGGGTGGGCGAAGGCACCCTTATACACCGGGTCATGAGTCATCAGGATGTCGGGCGGCGGTGGTATCCGGAGTTGTTGGAGTGGGCTTTGGGCGAGTATGAGAAGTAGCAGTGGTATTGGGGGAGATACACTGAGCTTGTGCTGTATACAGCTGACACTGAGGTAGCCTAATACAGATCTAAAAGGTGTTCAACTCCAAGAGAACCCTCAATGGGTATAGCGTCTTATGCACCAATGGTCATCGACAAGCATATGTTCCCAACTCAGTGATCAGCTAGTCCACATCGTCTACCTCCTGTTCATCTTCCGCATCTACTATATCATCACCCTCGCCCTCCTCATCACTATCATCCTTCGTCTGTTCCTCCAACACCACCGTCAAGCAAATCACCAAATACACCTCCCCGGTCGTTCGATTCTTTAGCACATACCGCAACACGTTATTCTTATCACTGACATATTTCCCAATATGAAAGCTAAACCCGGGAATCCGAATGGCGAACTCTATCTCATGTCAGCCTCACATCTAGTCCCATAACTGCCTCAACTTCATATAGAAGATAGCGGAACATACCGTTGAAATCCAAATACCCATTCCCAAAATCCGCCGCATACGTCCTCCCTTTCTCAAAGACAAATCCCTTTCTTCTCTCCTCATTCTGAAAATGGGATCTTCGTGAAGAGGAGCTATCAGGAATATTATACTCTTTCCGAGCATCCACACCAGACCCTGTGCCGCCTTCTTGGACTATGACATTGTCCTCATCCCCACCAACTTCCTGCTTATCTCCAATCGAGAACTGGTTCCACGACGCCAGTCCAGGACTATATAAATATGGCTTATCGGCGTATGCGTCACCGTCTAATGACGGGTCGAGTGTAGATTTGACTATCTTCAGCGCCGTGCCAAACCCAGTGGGTAGGTATGAGCGGATCGGATGGTCGAAGTCATTTCCGAAGATGAGGTCGTTGCCGTTTACGTCATGGGTGAAGTTGATTGTGAAGGTGAGGGAGAAAAGGTTTTGGTTGAATGGGGGGGTGTCGAAGTAGGGGTTGGTTTTGGGGGAGGTGGTTGGGTAGCCTGCATATGATGTGTTAGTAACAGTATTGGTGATATTGTATGAGGGGGGAGGGTGTAAATACCTGTGTAGTCTTTGATGCGGACCCAGAGATTGCTGGTTAAGTGGTCGCTTTTCAATTGTAGAGGAGAGGTATTATTTACAGTGACGGTTTCGTGGGTTTCTGGTGTGTAGGATGTGCCTGCGATGACTTTCAGGCGCTGGTTTTGGGGAGGGGCGCTGGAGAACATTATGGTAGTGATTTAGATGTTCTTTGGATTATCTACACAGATGATATGATTTCAGAAGGTCCAAGTGAGTTCTTTATTATATTAGAATGTTGCAAGATAGCAATGGTATTTGCTTCATACCAATGGTCTAGATTATGTTGAGTAGCTTTCTACCTTGGAGTGTCTGAAGCCGTTGGCTGCCGGAATGACGTAGTGCATCTCACTGTAATCCAGATTAGATATGACGCATAGTTATGCATCCTTAGTCATCCATCTTTATGCGGGATCCCTCTGGACTAGATTACGGGTGATCATCTCACCCACCACTCTATCATTGTACAATGCGAGAGCATCGCATAATAAGGCCGACAGGACAATGGCTAAAACATTCCCTTTTTACACATCTCAAGATGGCCCTGAAAATCAAGTCATGCACGACCCTGAGTGCAACCCTGTTTTGCACTTCGCCCCAGCCACGGCACCACAGTGACACTATCCTGATATCATACTTACGCGCGAAGTCAATTAGCTAGCCCTGCAACCTTAATATCTTCCGCCAACGCACCCTACGACTTTTCTAACTCTGTCAAACCTCAGAATCGCTTCAATCCTAAACAAAAACACAAACACGAAATGCAGTCCGTTCTACAGCCCATTCTTGGTCCCAAAAAGGAGATCCATGATCTCACCGGCCGTGTCGCCCTTATTACTGGCGGTGCGCTGGGCATCGGGTCAGTTTCTACCAGATTATATCTCAATATTGACTAACACTAGGGAATAGGTACGAGATTGCCCGCGCATTCGTCCTCAATGGCGCCAAGGTATACATGACCAACCGCAAGGAAGAGCAAGGCCAAGCTGCGATCGAACAAATCAAGAAAGAAGCCGGCGAGAATGCGCAGATTGAGTGGTTTCCCTGTGACATGGGCAACCTGAACAAGATCAAGCAGGTGTTTGAAGATTTCAAGAAGAAGGAAGATCGATTGGATCTTGTGCGTTCACTCACAATATCCTCGAAAATGGCGCAGCTAATATTGGCGACAGCTTATCCTCTCAGCCGGTATAAACGTCAACCAATACGGCGAAACACACGATAACATTGATCGCCATTTCGAGGTCAACTGGCTGGGCCAGTTCTATGTCGTGAATCTGGTATACCCGTTGCTGAGAAAGACATCCAAGTTACCGAATACCCCTGCGCCGAGGATCGTGTTCGAAACGTCGGAGCAGCATCGCATGGCGCCTAAGAACGTGCACTTTGCGACGCTGGAGGAGATCAACAATCCCGAGGTCGGAAATTTGGAGCTCTACGGTCGGACGAAGTTGGCTATCATTCTTGGAGTGAAGTACGGACTGTTGGATCGGGTGATCAAACCTAACAATGATAATATCTATGCGCTGTCTGTGCACCCGGGTGCTGTAAGTTTTGTCATTGCCTCTCTGCTAGAAGAGTCTCGGCTAACATGAGAACAGGTAAACACGGCAATGCAACAACAATGGAAAGACGCATACCCCGGCCTCCTGGGCAAGCTGCTAACAACAGTCATGCTAGCAGCCGGTCGGACACCCGAACACGGCTCCTTCAGTGCACTATATGCAGCGACAAGCCCCGAAGTTGAAGAAAAGGGCTGGAACGGATACTACTTCAGTGACCCTGCACAGCCCGGAAAGGAGACTGCCCAGGCGTCGGATCCTACATTGGGTGCGGCATTGTGGGACCTGAGTCACAGGATCATCAAGGAGAAGGTTGGCGATGATGCCATTGTCGACTGGAATGCGAGTGCGTGAGGGGATGCAGCACAGCGATAATTGTATGTTACGATAATGATGAATTCAACTAGATTGTAATCGTATTGCAAGTTGCTCTCCAGTGGGGTATTACCGTGACTTTTCCAACTACTCTTTCTGTTGTCCTCCACATAAGAACCATCTCCCAATCCACATCAATTTTCTGAAAATCTGGCATATGGTTTCTTCCTAGGAATATCCTTATCTCCGCCGGACTTAACATCAACAATTGCACCATTACCCCCTCCGGGGTCTGCATCGAAGCGCGGCCCCGGCCCGTAACCGGGCTCCCAGGCCCACCGGTCTCTGCTTGAGCAATCCCGACCAGCACGGGAATTGGTCACTACTTACTATCCCGTAGGTACTCGCTAAAAGCCGGGCGGAAGCTATCTCCGGCAATGAGGATCTCCAGTCAGCCTACGTATAGATAAAGAGATAACCCCTCTTGATCTCATCTCGATCAATTCCACCCGACTCACCATCCAAGATACACCAAATACCAAAACAATGACCTGCGAAGCCTGCCGCACCATCCCCCCCGTGATCTCCTCAGGATACACACCCAAGGGGACTTACACCCAAATTGCCGATCTAAAGACATGTACATCAATCCCCCATCCCATCAATAAATCTACGAGACCCACTCACACCACTCTGAAACTCAAAATAGATATAACCGGCCCCGCAACAGCCACCACCGGCATCATCGACATCTACGACATCTTCGGCCTCTCGAACCAAACCATCCAGGGCGCAGATCTCCTCGCCGCACGACTCAATGCCCTCGTCCTAGTACCTGATTTCTTCCACGGCGAGCGGGCAGATCTCGCGTGGTTCCCGCCCGATACGGAGGAGAAGAAGGCGGCGCTGTTTGGGTTTATTCATACGAAGGCGGCGGTTAAGGATAAAGTGGAGGTGGTGCGGAGGGTGGCGGAGGATGCGAGGGGGAGGTTTGGGGGGGTGAGGAGTTGGGGGGCGGTTGGGTTGTGTTGGGGTGGGAAGGTGAGTATTCCTTTTCTTTTTTCATACAAAGGTGGAGGATATGGGTGATGCTGATGTGGGTTTGGTAGGTTACTGCGCAGGTCTCAGGACCGAATTCGCCGTTTGTTGCGACGGGACAGGTGCATCCTGGGTATGGTTCCTTTTTCCTTTGGGTTGCTGGGGGTGGTGGCTGATGGAGATACTACGTAGGTTCATGGATGTCGAGGAGGCTAAGAAGTTGACGGTTCCGCATATTGTGCTTGCGTCGAAGGATGAGCCGGTGGAGGCTGTCAAGGGGTACGCTGACGTTATTGCTGGCAATGGTATTGGTGGTGTTGTTGAGACGTATCCGACCATGTGGCATGGCTGGATGGGTGCTCGTGCTCAGTTGGAGACTCCGGAGGGGTTGGCGGAGTATCGGCGGGGGTAGGTTGCCACTATCTTAAGAAGAGAGATTATCTGACGATGGTATAGGTACAATCAGCTGGCTGGTTTCTTTGAGAAGTATCTCAAGTCAGAGGCGAAGATCTAGATAGTTACTAGATCAGGAGGAGAGACAGGAATGGTATATATATTGTGAATATGTACATCACCCAGTATCATATTTATGGGGTATAATTTCTAGATATATAACTATTCCTGCCATCAATCAGATAATAGAAAGCTATATAGGATTCTATAGATGGTAAAGTTGCTGCACCGGTAGAAGACTCACCCAGCCGAATCGACCCACGTGGTCGGGCGCAGCCGCCAACCAACTCCGACTCCCACGTTATCCCAGAGCAACCATCATATGATCATGACAGCCCCCCCCTCCATCCTCGTCTTCGGTGTCGGCAGCGTCGGTGCCATCTACCTCCACCAGCTGCAACGAGCCGGCTGCACCGTCACCGCCGTCTGTCGCTCCAACTACGACGTCGTCGCTCACCACGGCTTCACCCTGCGCAGTCCCCGCTTCGGCACCGTCACCTATCGTCCCGACCACACCGTTCGCTCCGTGCACGATTGTCCCCGCGATATCCAATATGACTATGTGCTTGTCACAACAAAGGCATTCCCCGGTCGGACGCCCTCCCTAGCCGATCAGCTGCGACCGGTGCTTGAAAATCACCCACACACCGCCATTGTCCTGGCGCAGAATGGTATCGACATCGAGAAGGATATTGCGGATGCGTTTCCCTACAATCCAGTCATCAGCGGGGTAGTCTATCTGCCCACTGTACAGACAGAAGCTGGTGTGATCGACCATGCGGAGCCCCTGGATCTCCTAGAACTAGGGACGTATCCGGCTCGCGCGCCGGAGGAACATACAGGGGCGGCGAAGAAATTCGTCGACTTGATGATAAAAGGAGGCGGGGATGCAGTGCTGTTCGAGGATATACAAGAGGCGAGGTGGGCGAAATTGCTGCTCAACGCGGCATGGAATCCGATCTGTGCGTTGTCATTGTGCACGGATGGCGGGTTCTTGCTCACTTCGGAGCCGTTTGCGCGTGACTTGGCCTGGGGGATTATGATGGAGATTGTGGCGTTGGCGAGGGCGGTTGGGATTGCAGGGGTGGATGAGGCGGCGGCGAAGAAGAGGTTTGCATTGGCGGAGAGGAGGGCCAAGGAAGGGACAGGGAGGGAGATGAGTATGCTGCAGGATGTGAAGATGGGGAGGCCGTTTGAGGTTGAAGCAATCGTGGGGAATGCCGTAAGACTGGGGAGGAAGTGTGGGGTGTCGATGCCCCGGTTGGAGACGGTGTATGCATTGGCCAAGGGGAGGCTGGATGTGTTAATGGGGTGTAGAGTTTGATAAGAGGTGATCAGTGATCTACCCCTTCGACTGTAGACGTAGATTGGATCCTGGTGTGTGCAGGCTGCATGACAGATATCTGAGGCAGTGTGAAAGTGCCTGCTGCTGTGTGAATGCAATCTTTCACCTGCACACTAGACGCGAGGGGGTGTTACTCTTTGACATCAGTGACAGCAGGCAACCACCAGGCTGGACAGTGAATGCACTGCTGCCTCACTCAAAACATCCGGTCAAAGAACAGCCAGCGAGAGAACTTTTCCGCTTTGCAGCCATCATCCTCTCGTTACTACCAAATCTCTCACTACCATAAACATCCGCTCACTACTATCAAACTTCCTCTTACTACTACCGAACTTAACGTGCATTCAAAATGGACGAATCACCCTCCGACTCCTACGACGTCTACCTCACCGAGCAGCACGGCGTG